CCTCTGAGCTTTTTTATACGGTAATAGAGTGGGCCAATAGGCCTAAATGGCTCCTTTCGATTGCCGGTGTAACCTAACTTAACACCAATAATTTTTCTTCATCACGAACGATTTTCTCTATTTTATAGTACCTAAAATAACTAATATCTAATACAACTAAATAAACTAAAATAACTAATATAACTAGTAATTATATTATTTCATAATTATATCCCTGTACTTTGTAATAAACTTTATTAGAAAATAAAGAAATATATATACTTATATAAATATAAACACATATACTACAAACCAAATTAAAAATAGTTTGTGGTGACTATTATAGTCACTAGAAATAGTAATATAGTATTGTCTATAAAAGTATAGCGTGCTATTATAATGATTTCAGTAACAAACGAAAATTGGTCTAAATACTTTTATAATCTGATCATTTAAAAAGTGATCTAAACACCTCTTTATTTGGTAATTTAGTAAAGTTACTATATGTATTCTTTAACTAAAAACCAAACTAACTTCTTGAAGTTGAAAGACCTAAACTTTTTTGGCATTCTTTGTTAATCGTTGAAATTTATCTATGGAAGCGTGGATGTATTTTAAAAATTTACAAATTTATTATTATTTTATAACAACAGTGACAAGAGAGGGACGAAATAAGAATTTTGAGTTTATCAATATTGGTTACTGGAGTCCAGTTAATGGTTTTGTGACACATGAATTAACTTTTCCACACATTCAACACTATTTCCGAAATATTACTCTAGATATTGTAACTATGCATGTAAGCTGAAGAATTATATACTTATATATTAATACTTATTAATACTAATATTATATACTTATATATATTATATAATGCGATTTACAAAACGAATTCTTAATAACTAATGAATGAATAATTATTGTATAGAATCCACCTTGGCAAATACTCAAGAAAGATAACAAAGGTGCTGTTGTAGAGCATAGTGGCATTGTTATAGAAATTCTGAAGGAGCTCAGCCGCATGCTAAACTTTACATATCACTTTTATGAAGTAAAAAGAGTAGATGAAGACGATTTACTCTATAATAATGAAAACGTAATATTTAATTTATTATTTAATTCATTTACTATAGGAAATATTTTATATAGAATACCTTAACGGGCTCCTTGACACATATAATACCTTATAATGTCATAGATTTAATGCAAGGAAGTCGAGTAAATATGTCTTTAGTATAATATTATATTTACTTTTAATATTTTATAAAACTCTTCAGTTTTTTATGGCTGCTGTCGCTGCTACTATTGATGAGCCACATAAAAAGCCTTTCAATTATACGCAGCCTATAAGTGTACAAAGATATTCCTTTATATTGCGCAGACCAGATGAAGTTAGCAGAATTTATCTCTTCACAGCACCATTTACACTGGAGGTAAAGTAACCTTTTTAGTAACCTATATTAGTTTAAACATTTGAAAAGTAATATTATTATTTTCGTATATTTTAAATGTTAGACTTGGGGTTGCTTATTAGGCGCAATGGCCTTAACTATACCAGTGCTATATTTGATCAATTACTTTGTGCCAATGGAGCACCTAAGAATGCGTGGCTTATGCACTTTGAGAAATTGTTTTTGGTATGTCTACGGAGCACTACTGCAGCAAGGTTAATATAAATAAACTAAATATACATTGGATTATTTTTAAATTAAATATATAAATTTATTACACAGGAGGCATGTACTTACCAAAAGCTGATAGCGGTCGTCTGGTTATCGGTTTCTGGTGGCTTGTTGTTATTGTTCTGGTGACAACTTATTGCGGCAATTTGGTGGCCTTTTTAACTTTTCCCAAATTTCAACCTGGAGTTGATTATCTGTTTCAACTATTCAAAGGCAAGAATATTGAACAATTTGGATTACGAAATGGAACTTTATTTGAAAAATACGCAGCGGTAAGTTAAAAAACAACAAATTTACGGGTTAACATATAATGTTGCGTGCAACTTCGACGAAGAAAAATACGACAAAGCGGCCAAATAAACAAATTATTAGTTATATCAAAATATTAAAGATAGTAAAATATTTAAAATAGTATAAATACTGCGAATATATATCGTTTAATTATATTTTTAATTATCAATTTACATTTAACAAACTTTTTTAGCTTCCGAGCGCCTCAGAAATTTAATTTCGAATAAAATTTCGCAAATGAAGGCGGTGATTTTTTTTAAACGTACAGTTGTAAAGTTATTGTGAGTGTCGAATGCATAGCTTCCTACACTAATAAAAATTAACAGTTAATAGTTTTTTTGTGCTAATATTAAGCAGCTGAAAGAGAACTACTTTAGCAACTGCTATTCGAAAACATTAGAAAACACTTAATAAGATACTAACTTTAGTTAATAAAAATGTTTAAATACTTATTTGGGTTTTTGAAATTAATTTTTTATCAGTTTTATATTATATTACATTATATTAAATGATATATAAATTTATTTAAAAATCACACATGTGATCAATATAACTTGTTATAATAACAGATGATACAGATCCGTTTAGCTGAAAAATTTGTAAATGCAATAATCGCATTGGAAAATGACTACAGTGGTGAACTTTAATAAAAAAGAATTAGTTACCATTGTTATGAACTTCATGTAATTATATTTTTGTCGTGTAAATCATTAACAGAAAAAAAGCTTAGATAGTTTTGAAAATGATAAAATTATGAAATATATGCAAGGATTACTACACACCGGAACACAAGAAAAGGACCAAAAAGAATGGAAATAACAATCCACGTATAATGTTGGTAGACTAAAAAATAAATATTCTCGCTAGATATCAACCGCATACTGATTTTGTCTAATATACTGATAACACAATGAGCCAATGGTGGATCCTCTAGGGAACACCAGTATAATCTAATATACTGATAAAATCAAAAAGATTAAAATTTTTTATATTTATGCTCACAATTTCTCAATTGTCTTCATATGATGCTTATGGACTATTTATTTATATCTCACTTTTTGTTATAATAAATAAAACTATAGATATGTTGAAATTTTATTACCTGTCAATTGTCAAGCTATGTTTTGTCATGTTTTTACAAAAAATATTGTTTACTTACAGTAGTGTTTAATATTAATTACTATATTAAATAGTTATAACTGACTTTAAAATAGTTATAGCCAGAATTTAGTGGATTCGCAGCACTCTGCAAGTAATGTTATTGAATATTATTATGTTAGTTTAGAGAAACGGCTTTATAAATCAATTAATAAGTACATACTTATTTCAAATAAATTGCAGTTGTTAATTTTTCTAACTTACTCCAGTTATTAAATATATAAATATATTTATATATTGGATAATTTTCAACTTGAAATTGTCTTTTCGCACATGTAATTACCGACCACAATATACAAGGTGAGATGAAAAAACTGCAACCAACTTCAGACTGCTGTCATTTCTAAACCGCTCGTCCCACAGCTGTCAGATTTATTCTAGTGACAGCTCATTATATTGTTTACAAGCGCACAAAAGCATTTTGGGGGGAATTTTTCAGAAAAAAAGTTATTTGTGATGGAATTCAAGCGTGATAGTGTGATTGCTTTGCATTTGGCTGGAAGACCACAAGTGGCTATCGTTAGAGCCCTCCAGCATTTAAAAGTGAATAAATCTTTTGTGTCTCGTACCATCGCTCGTTACCATGGTACTGGTAGCGTAGCCCGACGTCAAGGAAGTGGACGAAAAAAAACAGCAACATCGGCAGAAATGGTTCGAAAAGTGAAGAAGCGAATTGAACGAAATCCGCGTCGCAGTGGACGAAAAATGGCTCGTGAGCTGAACATATCGCAATATGCCATTCCGCAAATATTGAAAAATGAGCTTGGACTAAAGCCATTGAAGTTCCAAAAAGTGCAAGATCTTACTGATGCGCAAAAAAGTTAGACTCGAAAAAGCTAAAGAGTTGCTTCGCTAGGCCGAAAGTGGTGAACTGCCGAATTTGGTTTTCTCCGATGAGAAACCATTCTTCGTTATCCAGCAGTTTGTAAACAAACAAAATGATCGTGTTTACTTGCCAGAGAGGTCAGCTGAAAATTTGCAACTTCTGTTGGCCACCACAACTCAAAAGCCGGCCATGGTGATGGTGTGGGCCGCCATAACAGCCGATGGTCGCTCGCCGCTCGTATTCATCGACCGTGGGGTCAAAATCAATGCGCAAATCTATCGCGAAAATATTTTGGAGGGAGTTCTGAAGCCCTGGGCACGCAAACATTTCGGCCGCAGACCTTGAACATTCCAACAGGACTCAGCACTATCGCACTCAGCACGCGCCACCCAAGAATGGTTAAGAAATGAGGTTCCTCGCTTCATTTCCACCGCACAATGGCCACCAAAATCTCCGGATGCCAATCCGTTGGACTATTGTGCCTGGGGTATTTTGGAAAGCAAGGTTGGCACTAAAAAATACCAAAGTGTCGATCATCTCAAGCAAGCGCTTCGCCGAGAATGGGACAAAATACCACAGAGCCACTTTCGGGCAGCGTGTGATGGTTTCATTGGCCGTTTGAAGGCCATAGTTCGTGCCAAAGGTGGCCAATTCGAACAATTCTAAACCGATTCTCAAATTTGATGTTATTTCCGACATTTTTTGCTTTCATTCAATAAAATTTAAAAAAAATGAAAAAATTATGGCGTTTTACTTTGTTGCAGTTTTTTCATCTCACCTTGTACATATGTTTGTATGAATATACGTGTTATCAATTTATTAACTATTGTTTATAGACCTACAACTCATTTATGCAATCACAATTAACGCAATGAACGCCATCATTTAGCACATAATTGTCATACAATTAGATTTTTATACAAAATGCATTTTAAATCCATAGAAAAATATGTGCTAATGAGATTGGTTAATTGTAAATGTAAACATGGTAATATTAATTAATCAAGTAAACCGATAAAGCAGGTATTTACAGAATTTAACTATTTAAAAACAAAGTATTGACAATACATTACAATCGGTGGGTGGGTGAAAAATTGAGCTTGTATTTGCATTTATAGGCCGCTTAAAACGTATACGAAACGAATTTGAAAGCATATGGTAAGGAAGAAGAATAAGAAAACGAATATTGTATATAAGCAATACTCGTAAAACTGTGCCACGAATCAGTGACTTTAAAACTTGTTCAAAATATTGAAATGACTGCTTCTGACCATAGGATTTCTTTGTTATGATATAAATGTTTTTGAGGTAGCTTTAATGCAGTTCTTGGAGTTAGCTAGTATTATGATGTCAGAGTTTTCTTCAAGCAGTTTTGCTAATTCAAAGGAAATTCCAATTATAAATTATAAAAAAAGTCCATTGATTCGCGAAGTTTGGCGGTACAACCTTGAAGATGAATTTCGTAAAATACGTAAAGTTGTGCAAACGTATCCTGTCATTGCGTTGGATACAGAGTTTCCAGGAATTGTTGCACGACCATTGGGTGGCAGATCTGGCGACTTTCACTATCAACAATTGCGGGTCAATGTGAATTTATTAAACATTATACAAATTGGTTTTGCGTTTATGGACGAAAACGGCAAGCAACCAGCTGATTATTCCACTTGGCAATTTAATTTTAAATTCAGTCTTCGTAGTGACATGTACGCTGTGAACTCCATTGAACTGCTACAAAATGCCGGTATTAAATTCAAACAGCATGAGATAGACGGCATAGATCCAACGGATTTTGCGGAACTGCTCATGATGTCTGGTGTGGTGTTAATGAAAAATGTGAAGTTCGTAAGTTTTCACTCCGGCTACGATTTTGGCTATCTGATAAGATTACTAACAAACACAACGCTGCCAGCGGAAGAGAGACAATTTTTTGAGACCTTACGTTTGTATTTTCCCACAATTTACGACATAAAATATCTGATGAAAAATATTAGCACTTTGCGAGGTGGTCTACAAGAACTAGCAGATCAGTTGGATTTACATCGTATCGGGCCACGTCACCAAGCCGGTTCTGATGCTCTTCTAACCGGAATGGTTTTTTTCAAAATGTGTGTTTTATATAAAGAAATTAAAAATATGCAATTTGAGCCCACATCAGTTTACTTGGACTACCACTACGAGATCTCACACCCCGCAGTCTGCTGGCAATCTGAATAAATTTAACCATCCAAAAAGCTTTTCCATACTAATAAACTATTTATATGCTTCTTTAAAGTTATCTATCAATGTTAGTCTAGTTCATGTTTAAAAATAATAATAATATCCATTAAATTGAAAATAATATTTTTTAATTTGATTTTATTTTATTAAATTCGATTCTAATGCAGACCTCTGTGCGAACTGATTTTAATAGATATATGGCTAGAGCAAAGATCTACAGTAATCCACAAGATGAAGACATTAATGCAGTTAAAAGTGGTAAAAGGTAGTTATATTATTTTCGGTAATAATTTATACTTTTATTTTTAGTGATTTTATTTCTAAAGGGTTAATATTGATTGGCGCATAAATTTACAACTAATCGTACAAAATCATCTTGACAAGGATAAAGAATGTAAATTCGCACTTGGTAAAGAGAATTTTGTGGATGAACAAGTCGGCTTAATTATGCCTAGCAACAATCCATATCTGCACTTGATCAATGAAAAAATAACGCGTCTTTTTCAAATGGGTTTCATTGAGAGGTGGCACCAAACGAATTTGCCTTCAATGGAGAAATGCAATGGAAAAGGTGTACTCCGACAAATCACCAACCACAAAGTAAATTTAGATGATATGCAAGGATGCTTTCTCGTACTATTATTAGGTGAATATTTTAACAAAATCATTATAATATTTATTCATATTTATGTATATCAAACAAATCTAAAATTTTGCAATATTTCGAGTTTGCTTAAGGACGATACTGCCTACTATTACTGGTCAACATTCTATTCAACGTGTTTTCTGTGGAAGGTGTTGTTGTGGTTGTTGTAATTGATTTGTTGTTGTTTTTGTTGCTGTAGTTGTTGTTTTTGTCGTTGTTGTAATAGTAGTTGTTGTTTTTGCTGTAGTAGTTGTTGTTTTTGTTGTTGTTATATCTTACAAGGCTCCTGTGTAGTCCGTGTTATGTGTGCTGAAAGGGACTTGAACGTCGAACTGATTTCTGAACGAACTCCGGAATTTAGATCTAACCACTCTTGGGACCTTGTGAGATGTGTAATCCCAGCTGGAGTGGTAAAAGGCACTTGGTCGCCATAAATGTAGATTTATGAAAGTATTTTAAACGTATTTTTATTGAAAGGTGAAATCACAACTGGTGTGGTAAAATTTGCTCAGTAATCAATAACCAGTGGCAAACCAATCATCTATTAAAAAAGTAATACTCATAGCGATCTTCATATTTTCAGTACTATTGTATATCTTTATATCCTCTCGTCCTCTCAACAATAAATTAATTGCCTAGTATATATTAAGAATTAGTATACAGTCTAACTTCCATAACACGAAGTAGTTTTTGCAAAGAAAAGGTTCGACTTCTGAAGACTTCGATTTAAAATTTTTTTTTTTGTAATTGTATGTAATTTGCTTTCTAAACCCTGTTGTACTCTATTTAGTACTCTTCTATAATAAATTGAATACTAACATACAAACTTATTTGGGGCCACTCCTCGAATTCGACGACCAAATCCTTTTCAGCACAATTCAACAGGCAAATCCCTGCCGGCTACAAGAACATTCTTATTGAATTTAAGATTATATATATGATTTACATGAAGTTATATATAATATACTTTTTCCAAATTACTTCCGGGAGTACTGTTTTACGTTAATCCTGCAGGTTTTCAATGCGCTTGAAATGCTCTAGTCACCCACCACCCCCCGAAATAAATCGCATAACTAAATGTAGGTATATATATGCATGTACATGACTCAAGAAATAAACAAAGTTATAGTCGATCTAGGACTTGAAAGTCCCCCGATATTAGTTTCTCATCTCAGCCCTATTTAAAACAAATCTCATTTTAAAAGTTAAGTTATTGAAGTTATTCTTTCCACGTTAACACGTTATCTTAAATATTAAATAATTAATACAATGTACAAGAATATGTGATTTCCTCTATTAGTAGTAATATCAGTATTCCTATTTTCTAGATAAAATCAGTGATAGACCTCATTGGATTCCATTAGGGAAAATTTATCATTTCACATGGGTTAACTGCAAATCTTAAAAACGTGAAAAATTATTTAAAAAATAATTTCAATGTTAAATTGTTAAAATACTTTCCTTAGAACTCTTCTACTAAAATTGAAAAGTCTGGCTACACTAACCGTACGTCATTATAAAAAAAAAATTACCAAATTAAACATCTCATATCATTTGTTATAAATAAATTTATTATATATATTCATTTATATGTATTAATTTATATTCATTTTAAATTATATTATTTAAATTATATTTATTATTTATTTATATTTTTTATTGTATTATTATAAATAAATACATATACATATATCATATAAACGCAAAATTTTTTTTTTTTCAGGATTCGCAATTTCTATATTCATTTTGTTTATTGAATATTGGTTTTATCGACTATACGTCGTAGACAGAGAAAACAATAGAGCTATTTTTACAACATAAAATATATATGATGATCCACGTTTAAAGAAAACTTATCGAGCAAAATTACTAACAAAAAAGTTTCAATTAAAATTTAACTTTTATTGTGTAAACAAATATAATATTTATTATTTATTAATATAATTTTCAATAGTAAAACTTTAAACTCAATTTAACATTTTTGATATATTAAGTGCAATAAAAAATAAATATATATTGGAAATATAATATGTCCCTTTTATTTATATAAGTTTCCATCTTAAAACTTTATACTCAATTTTAAATTTTTGATCTATTAAGAGCAATAAAAAATAAATATGGGATATATAATATATCATTTTTATTTATATAAATTTTATTTGTAAAACTTTAAACTCAATTTTTAATTTTTGATAAAAGTGCAAAAAAAATAAATATATATTCGTTTTATTTATAAAAGTTACCATCTTAAAACTTTAAACTAAATTTTTGATATATTAAGTGCAATAAAAAATAAATATATATTGAAAATATAATATATCCTCTTTATTTATATAATATTCAATAGTTAAACTTTAACTTTTTATTTATATAAGTTTCAATTGTAAAACTTTAAACTCAATTTTAAATTTTTGTTATATTAAATGCAATAAAAAAATATATATATATGGAAAATATAATATATCCTCTTTATTTATATAATATTCAATAGTTAAACTTTAAACTCAATTTTAAAGTTTTGTTATATTAAGTGCGATAAGAAATAAATATATATTAGAAATAAATTTAGTATTTACTATTTATTTATATAATTTTCTTGAAATGCTTTAAACTTAATTTTAAATGTTTGATATATGTATGTTTGATATATATAATGTTATATATATATAATGTGATATATATTAATGTTTGATATATATATGTATATCAAATAAAAAAATATTTCTATAATATATGTGTAATACTATTTATGTACATCTATTTATTTACTGATCTATAATAATAGTATATCGAATATCTTATTGGAAACTCTTCTCAAGACTCCTGTTGCATGGCTGTAACACGCTTCAGCCAATATCAAACCAAAAGTAGCTAATGCTTCACTGATAGTCTTATCATGCTAGAATCGATAGCAATGAATCTGTGAATAATCTTACAAGAACCAATGTAAGCATACAATTCTATGTAGATGTCTTATTTTGGAATGACTTTTGTTCATAGTTAAGTCTGATCAATAATTGGTAAACAATTAGAACCTTGTTATTGACGCAACAGTCCAGGTTATCGTCATACTTAATAACTTGTTTTTTGTTTCAATTAAAAAGCAGAATCATTGCAAATAGAAAATATTTACCTACGCTATCATCTCAAATAGGTATTTTAAATATTATTTTCGCTCATTCTTTTTACGTATTCCATAGCTGCATTAAACTGGATATTACGACAATTCATTCCTAATAAAGTATATTTTAATTTGCTTTATATGTACTTTATTAATAATTGATAATATATAATTACAAACATTACAACAATAAAACTCAACCACGGAGGAATAGTTGCATCAACAATGGCCAGATCCAGACGTTCTGAAACCACTCGTCCAGTGTGACAAGGAAATACCGTTCAATACTTTCTACGCGGACTTCAAGAACAACAAATACAACATGAACGAATAGTCAATAGATAATATATGCCTTCACTTTATAAATTTAAAAAATAATAAAAATAATGAAAATGAAATATGTTATGTAGTTTCGATTGTTTACTCTTATTAGTCGATTATTAAAAAAAAACTTAGTAATCAGTTGTCAGCTGCAAATTAGGTTGTATTTACCAATTACACGTTTTAAAGTTTTCGACCACCAATCATAATTCCATGGATTTAACCAAGCAGCAAACTTGGAAGAAGGATACTAGCTATATTGTGGTTCAACTAATTAATAAAAATAAAACGTTATAAATAACGACTTATTATTTTTGTTGATATCCATGTTGAGAAAGGCGAACAGCACATTGTGTTTTGAAGAAACCAGTGGCTGCAGAACGTATAAATCCGACCGCAACATTCTATACTATTACTCTACTACTGTTCCACTCCACGTAGCTGCATAATATATAAAATAATTATATATTTACATATATGTATTTTTGTTAGAATATTTGCGAACAAATCTTATAAGTACTTATATTACTAACTTTTCAATCATTATTATTAATAGTTCTAACTTGATTTTGATTACACACATGTTTATAAATCTTATAAACAATATCAAGTTATGCTAAACATTCGTCTGCATGAAAATATATTATTTACTTCGTCGATTTTTTAAACACATCTATATCATCATATTGGCTTTATCTCTATCATCACCAACTGAAATTGTTCACAAATATTCCAAATCCTTTTTTAAAAATATACAAAGCGACATTAATTTGTAATGTGGAAAATCCTTATTTTATTTTCAATATGTTTCAAACATCTGGAAATTTAAATACAAAAATATTTAAGAAGCATTAGCGTTGGGACCACGACGACGACCGAAACCTTGCACGAAATTAACGAAACGACGGTTGTATTGGATTCTTCGCTTAGCACGGCCAGTCTTCTTCTTTTTCTTTTCTTGCTTTTCAACTTTTGGTGTTTGGCCCTTTACTTTACCGGCACGAGCAAGAGAACCGTGAACTTTACCACCCAACATTGGAATGGTGATATCCAACTCATATGAGGTAAGAGCAGATACGCTGGTGTCATCGTTCAAGAGAGTACCTTCACAATTCAAATTGAATTCCTCAGTATTGTAGCCGTGCAATTGGGCAATTTGAGCCTAAACGAAATAGAATACGTCAATCAATAAAATTTTAACTAAAAAAATATTTATATGTGAGGTTAGCTACAAAGCGACTATAAACGCCTTGTTGCTATCACTTTTTCATTCAATCGTACTTACCTTAACTGCGGCAATGTTGGCATCTTGTTGGACTTCAAGAGCCTCAATATTCTCCAAACCACGTACGAACAGTTGCATGTTGCTTTACTGAAATTTAAAATAAATTATTTTTAAATTTCACTAAACACTATTTTATGTCATTTCAGCGCACAACACGTGTGATGCCGTTTGTTATAATTAACTATTTAAGTACCACAGACATACTAAATATTTTATTATATATTTGATTACGATCGAAAAATCATTATCTATACACAGTTTTATACACAATATTGCGAAATTTTAGCAAATATTTTATAATTTTTATATCTCACCTTGTCACTTGTGTGAGGATTTACGAAAAAGAAAGATGGCCGAGCTGTCGTAGTTTCGATATCAGAAAAACGAGACTCGATTCGAACACAAAATTTGACGTTAACAAATGTCAGATTGGTTGGAGTTGACCTCTAGCGGTTAAAAGCAAAAATATATTTTAAAATCTGTAAATATGTGTTACGTGTTTTTAATATAAAAAGTTTTTAATTTGTTTTAAATGATTAAAACATAAATTTTATACTTTGTATATTTAACATATAAATGTAAACATAGCCTACTTAGTAACAAATTTATTTACAATGGCTATAAATTTTATTATTATGTGAAAACTTTCGTAGAAGTTATTTATTATATTTATATCTATTTTAATATTTTATATAATCCTGTTATTTATTTCTCATAACATATTATAAAATATAAAATCCTATAACTAAAATATGGACGCTATAAATGAAATTTTATTGATTAATTTACTAGCTTTAATATATGTTTTTATCTAGAGAATATTTTTAACAGTAAATGTTTTTAAAAGGCTAGTTGGTAAAATATTTTTGAATATATTATTGAGAATAGAATCAGAAATAGAGCAACTATTAAGTATTACAAATCGGACACTTTGATGGCTGATCGCCAATTTAAAGGCACTAATGAGAAAGTTTTGAATGTCCCAAAAGCAATCGAATAAAAATGATATTAATGATTTAATATTTTATTATTTTACTTACACTTTTTATTGTACATAGCTTGTGATATTTTTTTCATTTACATAAATTTGTTCATTTGTTTTAACAATTATCTTGCAAATAATTTTTACACAGCGCTCTCTAGCGCAGACTAGATTCACTGTAAATAAAAAAAACGAATATTTTTGAATATTTTAATGTTTATTTAAATTTCGTATTCTTATACTTAATTATATAATTATAGTATCAAATTTTAATTTGAATATAAATTTTATTGTCAGATTTTACAAATTTCTTTGAAATATTTGTATTTCACAATACCCTTTACAAATTAATAATTTAGCACATTAAATTTACGAAGGCCGAATTCAAAGTTTTTATTACTCTGTAAGGCACGATTTAAATTTCCCACATACGCTTGTGAAATTATTGGTTTTAGTAAAAACAGTTTTCTCCATTATGGCATATGTCAGTTTAAGCTTAGTTTTCGAGATATCAGATTTTAGAGTTGAACATTTTTAATTAAAAATCACTAAAAACAAGTAAAGTCTTCGCTTCCTCTTAGAACTTCCTCTTGTTGCTAACCGACGTTATTGTACTCAATACAAATATTGCATATACTAGTGGACGCTAGATGGCGAGTGTATTTTTTTTATTATTGTTAACATAAAAAATGTAAAACTTCAAAACTCAATTATTTGACAAGTTAGGTAACCTATTCTACTAAAATGGCACGTTTCCACTACTTACTTAGTAAGTTACTTAGGTAACTTTAAGACTTTGTCGTTTCCATTGAAATAAGTTACTTATTGCATTTGAAAGAGTTTTTATGTGTTAGGAAGTTCTAAGAGGCCGTCTGTTTCTTTAAAATAATAATTTCACTTAATAATATATTACAAAAAATTAATTATATAATTGATATATTAAATCAATTATATATATATTTGATATATCCATTGCATATTGCATTAATAAAAACAAAAATTTTATTGAATACTTATTTGCTCAGTGCGTTGGTTTACAGCTCAGCATATGACAAATATTTCTAATTTTGGTAATATGCCTTGTGGGAAATTTATTTTTAAGGCTTGCATTCGACATTTTTGGTGTTATTTTCCTTGATTTATTTTTAAGTAAGTTAAAAAGCACGGAAGCTCGTTGTATGGTTAACGAAATTTACTAAGTAAGTTACACTTACTAAGTAAACAGTGGAAAATTACTATAAAATTAATTTATAACCCTCTAGATATTTTACCAGAGTAGCAAGATTTCTTTGAACTTAACAGCTGTTTTATATGACTTGCTAAATAAAGTGTGATTTGATTCGATATATCTGTTTAGCTATATCGCTATTAGGGAGATTAATAAAAAGTTATTTTTTGTTGGAAATTTAAATATACAATTTTTATTGATATTCATTTCATAGTTTGTTTGTTCAAATAACTAATAATACAGTTTCTCTACAATCACAAGAAAAAACAACAACACCGAATGTTTTCAATTTAATTGTGTCATATTCTCAGCATCACGAATATTTCACCAAAAACTTCAGCAAAAGCTGCCAGTGTTGCTGTTTTTGCTGTGATAAGCATTTTTCTCGTTTAAAAGGGATTTTGCTCTTTTTTTGTTCTTTTTTGTTTCTTCTTCGTTTACAATTTTTTTGTTTAAGTTTTTTATATATTTTACAATTTATAGTTCTACTTTATTTATATATTCAACAATAAATAATACAAATAAATAAATTGAGACTTAATTACAGTGTATAATGTATGTTATGTTTGAGTGTGTGTGTTTCGCATGTGTGTTTTCATGGTTGTTGTATTTGCTTAGTTGATACACAAAATACATAAATTTAAATCGAGTTTGTGAATAAAATTATTTTTAACTGTTGCTTTTGGTGGAAATTTTCAAATTGTACATGTAAATTTAAAATCTTCTGTTTATTACTCTAAACTTACATGTACAATTCAAAATTTTTTTCATAAAATTTTTTTAACATAAAATGCGAACATTAATTAATAATTGGTAATTAATTTTTGTTGTTACTGCAGTAGCACATGATTTGTACGACTTGCGAGGCAAAATATCATGTAACTTATTTGGCATATAGATAAATGGCAACGATAAGACCATAAAGACCCAAGACTTCAGAGAAAATCAGAATCAAGATCATACCAACGAAAAGACGTGGCTGTTGTGCTGTACCACGTACACCAGCATCACCAACAATACCAATCGAAAAGCCAGCACCTAACCCGGAAAATCCTACAGCCAAACCAGCACCCAAATGCATAAAGCCACTGTTAAATGTTAAAAGAAAATTGATTGTTAATAAATAATTATTTGTTATATATAATTATGAATTGATTTACTCAAAAAGGGTGTAACCATCTGATGCGCTCTTTAAATCACCAGCAATTAGAATGGCTACGACCAAACCATAAATAGCAATAATACCCGCCATGACCACAGGAATAATACACTTCATTATCATTTCAGGCCTCATTACAGCCATGGAAGCAATACCAGTACCAGATTTCGCAGTACCATAGGCGGCACCCATTGCTATGAATAGAAGAAAATTCATATTATTTACTTTGTGGTAAAATCGGATTTGTTTTATTTTTATTAGATATGAATATTATAATTAGGTCAATTTACATTAAGTAAAACTAAACTATTAATGTAGTATTTGCATATAATTATTAATTCATACTCTAAATTTTTTTTATATTACATTCTAGGTATATAACAAATATATATATATAACAGTTTCTAGTTTTTAACATTTCATATATTTATATGTATCTACATTACTGGTATTCGTTTTAAATTATATAAATCAGTTGTCAGTAATCTTTACTAGATGTCAGTGATCTTCATTAGACGCCAGAGATCTCTATATTTATTATAATTTTATTACTCTAAGTCTACACTGGATAAACTTTGGTCAGATATTTGCGTACACTCTCACTTTTTCGTTAAAATTTTATTCGAAGATAAAATTCGTAAATAATACTTTTTTTCTTCGAACATAAAAATCTTGTCAAATTTTAACCAGTGTAGATGTCAAATCAGTTAGTAAGGTAATGATAACTATACTATATTAAATTAACATTGTTTTCTTCACATTATCTCGATGAGTGACGGACGGCATAACAATAATATTCTTGGCAAAGCTTGCCGGTCCTGAAAATATAGATCACTACTATTATTGTAATTTATTTTAGCTGCCAAATATATATAGATTGGCTTGATTTAAAAGAAAATGCAAATAACTGGTAGTCTGAAATCGAGCATAAGCGATCATTGACGCCATGAAATGTCTCTAAAGTAATAATTAATAATGAGAAAACAGTCAAGGAGTAAAAGGTGCACCATAAATGTTATAGATCAAGAATAAAGTTATGGTCTTCAGTAACTGAATTGAAAAATAGATATTACGGAGTTAGGGTCAATAAACAACCTAATCGATTAAGCTAGGTAGCAACTATAAGCTCCTAATAAAAGTATAGATTAAATGTCCATAATAATGTAGCATAATTTTGTGAAGCCTAGCTTGTTTAGAGAAAGAAGTACAGGATTACGGATTGCAGTCTCATATACACCACACATAAAAAGAACTACGATTTCTGTAAAGAACATCTCTACAAATAAATCTTCACTTTGAAATAAATATATGAGATGATAAAAAATAATAATCCAGTGTTAATAATTTTTAACATTTTCATATACTTTGTAATATAACAAACTCTATAACAGAATTACTATGTAGATGACTAAAAATATTCTGAAATAAACTTATTAATCTAATAATTTGATTTCAACAAATGTGCAATTGATATGAATGTAATAAAAATTTATCTGTTACGCAAACATTATTTAATATATTTAAGCTCCTACTTTTGCGATACTATAGTATGTACAATTGTTTTTTAAGTCATCGGGAGTTACATGTAATTGAGTTATTGGTTTTTTTCTTTAAGTAAAGCAAACTAATTTAGAGTATTTAGGGTATTTTGTAAGTAAACAAATGTTATCGCCTAAAGCACTTAATTGCCGTTGTGGCTGATAATGGGTCTGATAAGATTTATACGTGTCTCATGCGAGTTACCAAACCATAATTCGATCAAGTGCAGTTGTGCTTCAATACTGAGACGACCTTAATTGTTAGCTGAAGGCATATTATTGACATTTTACAGTCAAAATTATTGAATGTTAATTCAATTTACTTACATTTTAGTCTATTAACGTGGAGAACACATTGATAATTACTTTTGACGCTGGTTTTAATCTTGACAAATTTTCATTATCGTCGCTACAATTTTTTTTAATTTATTATTCTATTGATATGACAAGATTGATTCATTTTTCTTTAAGGTCTTAAAGACATTTTCTAGTGTTGACGATTTTTTCGTAGAAATAAATAATTCTTAAAAAAAAATAATCAATTGATTATGTGATATG